TGCGATCTATCAGGCGCTTCGAGTCAGCCCACTGAGCGCGCGTGTAGTTTCCGACCGCCTGGGCGCCGCTCAAGAAGGGAAGGCGCGGGACCCCCGCCCAGGCCTGCAGTGGCTCGCGACATGCTAGCACATGGAGAAGCGCGTTTGCTTTGCATCCCCTCCCTGGGCCGAGACCCTCCTTCGAGCGGACTCCGTCGCACAGAAGTTGGGAGGAGGTGGTCGCCAATGGGGCCGAGTCTGATGTGATCAACTCTTGAAGGTATATCTGGGCTGATTTGGTTGCCCGCTTGGGAGCTGAGTCGCGCGCGGCGGTCAAGTCATCGTGACGAAGTCCAGTCGGGCGTTATTGCCACGACGAAGCTCACGCTCGACTTTCTGTCCAGGTTCGCTCAGTCGAGCGCCGCTGTTGCTCAAGAGCAGTTGACCCCGTCTTCCGTGCTGGCCCAGGGGCCAACCCCTGCGCCTCGGGATTCCAACCTTGTGCTGTCGCAACATGGAGTTTTCCATTTCCCGTCGCTCAATGAGTGGCGGTGCCGCGCGTGCAACCTCCTCGATCGGGCGCCCCCGTCTTTGGTTCAGCTGCTTTCTGGCTCGCGGAGAGTTTGTGGACCGTCACCGTACCAGGCATGGCAGCCACCGGCTGCGTTTGCCCTGCGTGCGGAGCAGGGTATCCCTACGTCCACGGCGGCGGCGCCTCTTGCCCTGGAGGGCGCGGACAGAGTCCGGGGGCCCGCTTTTGTTGCCCAGGCGACGTTTGTCCAAGCTCTTACCGACCGTTTCGTGTCCCTGGGCCACCAAATGGAGCAAGTTGGCCGCGCTGTCTTTTGTTCCCCGCGCTCGGCCCACACCATCTTCCCAGGGGGTAGCCAGGGTAGATCGAACCATCCATCGACTCGTAGCTCCCAGGCAACCAAATTAAATATGCAGCTCGTGGCCTCCACCCGCGAACGGGGATGCCTCTCGAGCCTGCTTAGTTTTGTGCTAGGGGGGAGGCCTGTCGAGTGCCGCCTCACTCGCTCGAGCTAGGTGGGCGCTGCCAAAAGTACTGCTGGCCTCCCCCCGTTTAGTTCCGATTGAGCTCCCGCCATCGGGCCCTTCCCCCCTTGCGGAAGGTCTAACTCCATCCTGCCCTGCGCCTCCGTTTGGATCGGTAGCGCCAGGCGGTGCGCGCCTCTTCCACTTCCTCCTCCTCCTCCTCCTCCTCCTCCTCTTCCTTCACCGTGGGTGGAGGGCTTGGCACTTGTTCCCATGGTGTCAGTGCCACACATTCCACGGGGCACATTGCCTGGAGTTTTATCCGCTAGTTGGGCGAGGTGCAACTGGCCGCTTTCTTTGGGCACCAAGCGGCTTGGCGTTCTCGCTTTGACGCTGGTGGCGTCAGCAGCGCCCGTAGCACTGGAGTTGGTTCCCAGGCGCGGGGACCGCGCATTTGGTGGAGAGGTGGGGCCATGTGGCCCGTAATTCCCACGGGACCTTGTGTCCACTCCCCCTGGGCTACAAACCCAGTTGCGCGTGCTGGGTGTTCCGGCAGGTGCGAGGCCGCTTGCAGGTCTCCCTACGCACAAGCCGTCACGCTTAGGCTGCGAGTCGCCGGCGACTTGGTCACCCCCTGTACCCTGACTGGTTTGCGATTGAAGCCACGCGTGTGGTTAGCGACATGAAGCTCATCCTCCTCCCATTCCTCCTCCTCCTCCTCCTCTTCTTCTTCCTCCTCCTCATTGAAAGCCTCAGTCTCGCCGGTTGGCGCTGGAGTTTCTCGTGCTTGGATCGCCGCGGTGGTTGCCGAGGGGATGTAGGGGTTAGAACTGGATGCTAAAGCTCAAAAAAAACCATACACATAATGTGTTGGAGTTCCGCGCGGGTTTCTTAGATCCGCGCCTGGCCCACTTCGGCGGCGCCTCCGGCACTGCCCCTGGAGCGCTCCGCGCGCAAGGGAAGTGGGTCTGGCGCGGATCCAAGAAATCCGTGCGGAGAGGCGACAGTTGATGCTTATGCTGTTTTTTCTTCTAAAAGTGGGCCTGGCCTTACCTATCTCATGAGTGGGTTACAGGTGCCCTATGTGGCTCAGGATGATGGGATCATTCTGCTAAGTGGGTCCCGCCCACTTGGCCCCGATCTGCACGCCCTTGGGCCATTGCGAGGGCACGCGCGACCCACTTCTACGCTGGGTTCAGCAGGATCGAAGCCACCTCAGCACCCAATTTGTTTCCCCATAGTCATCCTCTTGGCAACCCCCGCGGCGCCCAAGAAAGAGGGGTGGGGCACCACTTTGGGGCGCCGGGTGACTTTGGGTCGGTTTTGCCAAGATTTGAAAGATATTTGACAATTCATTTCGAGAAACCAGTATTTTCGCACCTGTAGACGACTATGAGGGCCTCTGCGTCTTACTATGAGCTCCGTAGGCGCCCTTTTACTATCGAAACACTTGGAGCAACCAACTTCATGTCGACATGCGACTCCTCCGGCCTTCTTGCTCGCGCGCGTGCGAGCGCGGCCTCCCCGGCAAGCCCTGGCCGGCGGCTCCCTCTCCTCGCGGGGGCCTCCGCGGGGGGGGGCTCCGCGGCTGCGGCACATGGGGGGGTCCGCCGTGTGCGTGCGAGCCTGCAGGAGCAGCAGTGCGGTGGCAAATCGTGGGAGCCCTGCATGTCCTCGCAACTTACTCCAGATTTCGTAATAAAGGGAGGGGGGTCTCATTTCGGGGGGGGGTCTCTTCCAGGCTATCTTGGAGGGCCTGGGGGGGTCTGGGGACGATGTTTTGGAGGGTTCTCCCACGGGGGGGGTCTGAAATGGCTTGTCTTGGAGGGTCCAGACCCCCTCCCTTCTATTACGAGATCTGGAGTAGCAAACATTTGTTCACACTTGTCGCCCGAACCGTCACCATCTGTGAACATTTGCGCGCGTAGAGGAGGATCGTGTTTTGTTTGGGGATGTTTTGAGGATCGCAGCGCTGCGCTTATAAATGACAGTTTGGGCATCTTTAGAGCATGTTTAAGTGATCTTACGTTTCACAGAACCTGGTGGTTGCGCGCAATACAAGTTTAGAGTGCATCCGCGTGCGTCGTGTGCGCGCGCGTTGGCTGGAACGCACTGGCAGCTACAAGGCCTTGAGCCTGCGCTGGCACAGTCCGAATTGCTTCACGCTCTGAGGGCGTTGTGACCGTCCGCGGCGTCCCCTCATTTCTCCTCTCCCGCGGTTTGCTCGCTTCAAATATTCGATTCGTACGGAATGAGCATTGCTGGTGCACGATCGCAACTTGGACCCAAGGCGGCGCATGTCAAAAAAATGCGGGCGCTGAGTGTTGCTGCCGAACCCCTGCGTGAGCTGGCCCCGTCCGCGCGCTCTCCGCTTGAGAGTCCGTGTCGATCCGACCGATCCGATGGAATGTCGCGTCCGGTTGCCCGATCTGATTCGAGGCCGATGCTCCAACGACCCGATTCGTCCCGATGCTCTCATGGGCAGCGTCGCGCATCCTGGCGCAGCCGATCCGATTTGATTCCGATTCCCTGCCAGTGCCGGCTGTTTTTGGTTTGGTTCGCCCGACGCCGCGCCGCTGCGCGCGTGGCCGCGACGCCAAACAACGCGCGTGCGCCGCCGGGACACAGGCGGGTCCTGCGGGAAGCGGGTCCCCCAGTGGTCTTTCGCTGCCCCTCTCGGGCTGCCCGGCCCCCCCCCGAGGGGGGTCAGTCTAGGCTTTCCAGATGGGGTCGTAGTAGATGGGATCGGGGGATCGCGCCGCATCGTCGGTGTATCGACGATGCGGCTCGACGTGGAGTCCGATGTTCGCCGATGGATCGTCGACGTCGCCGAGACCTCGCCGATGAATCGGTGATGCATCGACGATGCCGCGCGATCCTCCGACCCCCACATGCTCCGACCCCATATGGGAGGCATCTACGGACGCAGTCAGAATTCTGAAACAAAAATCAGTTTGGGCTCACGGGGTCTCTGGTTTTCGGGCCGCTCCCGAGATCTAGGTCGTGGAACGTGTTTCTGGCCGAGGTCATCGCCGTGGTTCGAAAAACACATCCCGTTCTTCATTCAGCGCTTCCTGTGGAAACATGGCGACTGTAGCGGTTCAGGATGGAGAGGTGGTCCTGGGGCGGGGGGGGGGGACAGGGTGCAGGATCCGTTTCCTTCAGGTCACGGGAGACTGACGTTATGGTTGCGATGCGCTGCAGAATGTTCCAGGACGTCCCGGGATGTGCTACTGCTCCGCGCGGGCTCCAGAAGCGAGGGCCGCTGGATGCCGCAGCATGCGTGGAGCGTGTCCTGAGCCGGTCGCAACATGGCATCATTCAAAAACACATGCATGCATGCGGCGATCTCTCAACAACACCCCTGTATTGGATGACTGCTGCTTCTGCCGCCGGGAGGGGCAACAAGTCGTGCCCCCCCCCGCCCTCACTTGAACGAAGGATTGCAAAAAAAACAAGGGTTTTTTTGCAATCCTTCATTCTCGTCGTTCCAGGACGCCTCTCTTTTTCATGTCAGTGGTCGCCGGCAGGATTTGCGTGTTCGCGTGTGCGCGCGCGTGCGCGCTGGCGTCGTGTGGTGCAGTCTTGTCCTCGCTGTACCGCGCGGGTGCCTCGCACGGTTCGTGCTCGACACTGTGTGCGTGTGCGTGCGTGTGCGCGTGCGTTTGCGTGCGTGTGCGTGTGCGTGTGCGTGTGTGTGCCTGTGTGTGTGTGTCCGTGTGTGTGTGTGTGTGTCCGTGTGTGAGTACGTGTGTCTGTGTGTGAGTGCGTGCGTGCGTGCGTGCGCGCGCGCGCGTGCGTGCGTGCGTGCGTGCGTGCGCGCGTGTGCGTGCGTGTGCGTGCGTGTGCGTGCCTGTGCGTGCGTGTGCGTGCATGCGTTTGCGTGCGTGTGCGTGTGTGTCTGTGTGTGTCTGTGTATGTGTGCGTGTGTGCGTGTGTGTCCGTGTGTTTTGTGCGTGTCTGTGTGTCGGTGTGTCTATGTGTCAATGCGCGTGTGTCCGAAAGAAAAAACACCTGGCGCCCAGGGAGCTGCCCCGCCACATGTGGCAAACTTGGCGCAGGCTGGCGCAGGAGCCAGGGGCAACGCCACGGGTGGATAGGCCCAGGCAGGGGGGCGCATCGACCCCCCATCGCCCTCTCATCGCCGACGGGGGCCCGACAGCCCACCCCGCCCGGGGCCACACAGCAGACCTATCGACGATGCATCGCCGCTGCCAGGTCGACGCGCGCCCCTCCCCCGGGCGTCTCGGGCCGGGCGAAAGGGGGGGATTGGGAAAGGGGGGGTTACGAAATTTGCTGCATGCAGCTGGTTTCGGCTTCACCGAGGGGCCCATTCCTCGATACATAGCCGCCTCCGGCGCCGGGAGGCGCCGGGAAAATCAGCTACGTGAGCTGACTCTCAAACCCCCCCTTTGCTATCCCCCCCTTTCGCCCGACCCGAGCGTCACCCCTCGAGGAGGCGGGCGCCAAGGACGCCGCCGAGCGGGCCGAGGCGGGCGCCGGGGGCGCCTCCGAGCAGGCGGAGACCAAGGGCGAGGCGGCAGCGGAGGGCAGCGGGGCTGCCGCGGCAGAGGAGGCCTCGGCGCCCGAGGGGGCCGCCGAGGAGGCCCAGGCCGAGGAGGAGACCCAGGACCGCGTGCCGCGGGGCAGCGCGGGGCTCCCCCTCCTCCTCCTCTTTCTCCTCCTCCTCCTCGTCCTCCTCGTCCTCCTCCTCCTCCTCCTCCTCCTCATCCTCATCCTCCTGCTCCTCCTCCTGCTCCTCCTCCTGCTCCTCCTCCTGCTCCTCCTCCTTCTGCTCCTCCTCCTCCGGTTGGGCTCGGTCGGCTGTGGTGTCGTTGCCGCGGCGGTGCGCCCCCTCTAGGCTGCTGGCGGCCTGGCGGGTTCGGTCGGTCTCGGTGTCGCTGGCGATTCGGCCGGTTGGATTCCCCTCGCCTCTGCCTCGATGGCGACGCCGACGACGACGACGATGACGATGACGATGAGGACGATGACCATTTCTGGTGCTGTGCTGCTGCGCGTGTCGTCGTCATTGTCATCGTCGCCCTCATCGTCATTGTCATCGTCGCCATCGTCGTCGTCACCGCTGGCACCTCCCCCCCTGCAGCTCCTCGGTGCTCTGCTTGGGCCCACCTATAGGGGCGGCCCCACCTCGGAGCTGGCCCTCCCCGGGGGGTGGCTCTCGCAGCTCGGTCGCCGGGGCTGGCGCATCGCGGCGTGCTGCCGTGCGGTCGGGTTGGCTCGGTCAGCGGTTGTGCCACTGGAGAGAGTTGTCATCGCGCCAACATCGCAGAGAGGATTTTCGCTCGGAAAACGATCGGATGGGCCCGGGGTGTCCTGGAGAATCTCGCTCTGGATTTCGGAGTGAATGTCGTGCGGATTTGTATTGGCCAGAAATGAAGGCCAAAAAGAATCCATGCGAAGTTCACTTCGTTTTTCGCTCGCCGCTTCGGGCAAGCGTCAACGCAGAAAACCACGCAGAAATCCGCTGCAGCACGTCTGCAATGAGATTTGTTTGTCCACCGGTCGTTGGAAAGTAAGTATTTTTGGGCTCCCAGATTCCATTCTACGTTAAGCGCCTTCTTACTTCAAGAATCGAGTGGCTTCCCCTCTTCCGTCCTCTTCAGGGGGCGGGCGGACACCCAATCTGCTTCCAACGCCAACGCCTTCCTACTTCCCCTTTCTACCTGATGCTTCTGACCGATGGATATCCCGTGGCGATAACTGGCGTTACCGGATGGAGGGGCGTGGGGCGGGAACGTCACGGTTCGCGCCGGCATCGCGTGGGGATGCTTATTTGGATCATCGCTGGGGTTGCTGAGAGGATAGGGGGATACAATTGGATGCTAAGGTGGGTTCTATCCAGCCTAAGCCAGCTTAGAAGTGGGTTGCACGTGCCCTAAGTGGCTTAAGGGCGTACAGATCTTGGCTAAGCGGGTGGAGCCCACTTTAGCGAAGTTACCTCACCATCCTAGGCCACATAGGGCACTCGTAACCCACTTACAACCTGGGTTAGGCAAGATAGAACCCACTTGTGACTTGTGCATCCACTTCTCCCCCCCAATCCCCTTAGCAACCTCCGCGGCGATCCACGTAGGAATGCTTGGTTTAGTGGCAGACGGCGCCGGCGCGAATCGTGACGTTCCCAGGGGCGGGGGGGGGCGTTGCTTGCTCTGGGCTCTGTCGTGAGCAACAAAGGACAACGGCTCTGGCTGTGTCGCGTCGCCCCGGCCTGGCTGCTTGCTGCCTGCCGGCTGCGTTCGGTTCTAGGTCATGCCGTCGCCGTGGGCTGCCCTGCCCTTCCGGGGGCAGTGGGCGGGCTGGCACGGGGCATACGGAGGCGCGATGATGGCGGGGAGCGGTGCGCAGAGGCGTGCGTCGGAGGGCGCGACAGTGCAGGGGGTTGCATGCGCGTGGCGTGGCCGGTCTGGGCGGGAGCTGGGTGCGACTGCGGCCGCATGTCCTTCCAGCGCTCGTCTCCCCGCGGCAGAGCACAGTGGGCACATCAAATAAGACATCGGCCTGCCAGCAGGTGGCCTTCAGGATTCCCTGGTCCCCCGATGGCTCCGGGGACCCACAAGAACTCGGGGGCACCTTTGAACCCCCGATGGTCGGCGACGGGCGTGCCCGTGGATCTCTCGTGGCAAGAGGTCTGACAGTCGGACCGAGGCATAAGATCGAGGTCGGTTCGGGGAGGGTAATATTAACCCTGATGTTTTTCGTGCTCGTTGGATGTTCTCGTGCCATCTGGGTAGGGTGCCCTTGGCTGTTCTGTTTATGTTGCCCGACGGAGGGCCTCATGTTGTTGAGGGATGTTCTTCTGGCCCAGGCTCGACTCTATTGTATTCAGGAGGGTGGAAAACGCCCAGACACAATTCATCGTCGATCCCCAGGAAAAAAGATAGGTAAATAATGATGGGAAGTGGGGGGGAAGACGAAAACTCAGAACATACTGCAACATATAGGGACCCCTGGGATTTGTGCCGATGCATTTTTGTGCGTGCCCCTTTAATTGCATGTGTCTGGAGGCCCTCCGCGTGTGCATACAGTGGATACCCATGCCAAGAAACACCCTGCTTGCCTCCAGGGTGCCCTGGGTTTCATGGGTTTCCATGGTCTTGCGATAGAAGGCGTGACGTTCCCGCACCAAAGATCCACGGACGTCCTGGGGTCTCAGGTTTGGGTGTCTTGTGCAAGGCTTCTTGTGGACTGGCTTTCACTGCACGCGGTGACCCTGACTGTGCTGTCGTTGGCTTGAGCTGTCGACAGGGTGGCCAGGGCCGCTGCGCTGCGTGCCCCGTGCAACGTCGACTCCTCCTCGTAGAAGTGCCCCCCCCCTCCCTCCCCTTCCCTCCTCGCGCTGCATGGTGAAGCATCGGCCTTCTCCCCTCTCGATCGGGGTTGTGGATCAGCCTCGCGATCCCTTTGTTCCTCACTTGGCTGGTGATGCGCAAAGGTCGCGCGCGAGCTCACAGGCCCAGCATCCAAACACACAGATGCTGCTGCGGAAAAAGATCCCTCCTCGCCCCTCCTCCGCTCGCGGCTGCGCCGCAGCCCGGGTGGAGACACCCCGCCGGGGGGCCCTCGGCCCGCTGGTGGCCCTCGGCCCTCCCTCCTCTTCCCTCCTCGCGCTGCATGGTGCAGCACCGGCCCTGTGGACGGCTTCTTGCGGTCGGGCCCCTACCTGCACATCCGGCGCGCGGCTTCCGCACGCGTGCGCGCTCGGCACCGGGGGGGGGGGAGGGTCCAGCCGTGCCTGCGTGAGCCGGCTGCCCCCGGCGGCCGCTCCGAGCGCGCGCCGTGGCTTTCAGCGGAGGGCTCACAGCGGGGCTATGGGTCGGGCCTTGGGAGAAGTGCCCCTGGCCCAAGAGGGCCCCCAGGGCTCTCGGGGTGGCCAGGGGGGCCTCCAGAGCACCTCTCACGATGGCTTCTCGGGGTGGCCAAGGGGGCCTCCAGAGAACCTCTCACGAGGCCCAGAGGGCCCCAGGGGCTCCAAAACGGAGCGACACGCCACCTTGGGCCAGGGGCACTTCTAGCAACACCCGACCGGGGGAGGCGTCCAGCTGCCCTTTCCGATGACCCCGCGCCCCCCCCCCCTCTTTTGGCGCGAGGGAGAGGAGGGCGAGGAGCAGGATGATGCTAAGAATGATGTTGTTGTTGCTGCTGCTGATGATGAAGAGGAGGAGGAGGAGAAGGAAAATGATCACGGCTGTGATGAGGATGATAGTCACGGCGGTGATGATGATGTTGATGTTGGTGCTGATCATGATGATGATGATGATGCTGATGCTGATGATGATGATGATGATGATGATGATGGTGATAATGATGATTGTTATGATGCTTATGATGATGATAATGATGATTGTTATGATGCTGATGATGAAGGTGATGGTGATGGTGATGCTGCTGATGATGATGATGATGATTATGATGATGATGATGATGATGATGATGATGGTGCTGGTAAGGTTGAAGACGATAGTGATGATGGTGATGATTGTGCTGATGATGATGCTGGTGATGTTGGTGATGGTGATGGTGATGATGATGGCGATGCTGATGATGATGTTGGTGCTGATGATGATGGTGATGGTGATGGTGATGGTGGTGACGATGATCACTACGGTGATTAGGATTAGGATTAGGATGATGCCGGTGATGATTATACTTGTTGTTGTTATTATGATGTTGTTGATGATGTTGTTGATGATGATTATTAGCAGGGGAAGGAGGAGGAGGACGAGGAGGAGGATGAGGGGGAGGAGGAGGAAGGGGAGGGGGAGGGGGAGGAGGAGGTGGCAAAGGAATCCCCCTCCTGTTGCTGCTGCCAAGGGCGCTGCTGTCACAGCTGACTGCAGAGCCCGCTTCCCCTCCTGCTTCTCCGCTTTCTCGTCTTCGTCCCCATCCACCATGCCCCCCCCCCCTGGTGGCCGGGAATGGGTATGCCATGAGCAGAGCTGGAACCCAGCTCGCGCAGGAGTGGATGGCGCGTAGGGCTCTCTCAAGGCAGTCCTCTTGGCATCGCTGGGACGTGTGCTTTCTTTTCTCGGCGAGGACCACCGAGGAGCCGGTTGGATCATCTTGGGAGAAAATCCACGCACGAAGCCAGAAAATGCACGGAGAGTGGCTCGGACGGTGGCGAGTCTTGAGGCACATCCGGGGCCACAACCGGCGAGGAGGTGGGGTGCGAAACGCCCCACACGCCTTATTGACACGCCCGGCGGTGCGACCGGGAAGAATTGTTCAGAGGAAAAGGAGGCACGTACGGGGTATGATCTCAAGGGAGGGCGGTCGCCCAGGAAGCCATTATCATAACAAGGCTAGTATGGCCTGCAGGCACGGCCCAGATGGAGTTTCCTCTACGAGAGAGTGACGTTCTCAGCACGGCGACGCGCAGAATGCGACCATCCGGAGGAGGTGCACGTCTGATGCTCATCGCAGAGACTGTATCGCGCATCGTGTGGGCCTCTCATCTGCGCTTGGGAGGCTTGAGGTCGAACAGGGGTTTGTCGCATATGTCCCCCATGCTTGACGACCCTCCAGAGACAAGGGGTGGCTGGTCTACAGGATTAATAAGTACATCAAAAAGCTGAAACCAAGGAACAGCTCGGGTCTGGAAGGGGCTCTCACTCGAGAGAGAGAGAGAGAGAAAGCACGCAACCCTCGGGCACGTCCCTCTGCAGGGGGAATATTCAAAAACAGTAAAGGAATGCTCAGGGGATGATTTGTTTTAGAATGTTTTACAATTTGGTTTGGTTGTTTGATTCATTTGATTTTTCCTCAAAAATCCACCTGTAAGGGGACACGCCCGACTGAACCGCACACCCACCAGGATGATTGTTCAATGTTTCTGGAATGCTTGTGGACTTACCCGGCACGCCCCCGTGGCGACGTCTGCGAATCCCGACGTTCCCGGTGTTACACATCGTTTGTTTCAAAGCCCTTCTTCGCTGTGGTGAAACAGTTCGTGCGTGTTTTATCCATGCGTTTCTGCGTTTATGCAGTAGCGCCGCTGCAGTGCGCGATTGCGCGACTTGAGAATGTCCCAGGCACTTTCGTGCGCGGCGGTTCTTTATGAGAACAGTTCTGGGTGTTTATTACACACGTTGTTTGGTGGTATAAGAATGTTTTTCCTGGGCCCTCGGCGGTTGCATTTTTCGCAAGATGCCAGGGGCCTCCTCTTGGTCGGCGGGCGAAAGCAGTGTTGACGCATGGACACCGAGGCCGCAGCAGGCACGTCACGTCAGAGACCAGCCTGTCAGCAGGTGCTTCACGGAATGGTCTGATCTCCCCACGGCCCCTTGCCTTCCATTTCTGGTGAGGATGGGTCGGGGAACATTGAAAAAACACATGTGGAACCCGTACCCACCCCCCAAACCGACATTGGGGTTTTCGGGCGGGTTGGCTTGTAGTGGTTTGGTAGGTAGTCCCTGGGTGAGGAGGAGGCGGAGGAGGCGGAGGAGGCGGAGGAGGGAGGAGGAGGCGGAGGAGGAGAAGGAGGAGGAGGAGGAGGAGGAGGAGGGAAGAGGAGGAGGCCTGATGACCTCCAAACAGAGGTCGACGGCGCATGTGCCCCATGATGTCTTGCAGCAGGATCTCTCTTGCGGTGGGTGGCTGCTGCAGGGCCTGCCTCACGTGTGGTGCGAGGCTCCTCCTGCTCCATTTTGTTTCTGTATACTCATCGGTCGTTGAAAGAAGGTATTTTCTGAGCCCAAGATTCCAATCTGGTTCAGCCGCCTTCCTACTCCAAGTGTCGAGTGGCTTCCCCTCTCCACCCCTCTTCAGGGGGCGGGCGGAGACCCAATCTGCTTTCAACGCCTTCCTACTTCATGTTTCTACCTGCAAGGAGGAAAGACTGGTCTACTCTGTAAGAACGGTTTTTTGAAGGCAGATCTGCCTTCAAAAAATGTAAGAACGGTTTTTTGAAGGCAAATCTGCCTTCAAAAAACCGTTCTTACAGAGTAGACCAGTCTTTCCTTCTTCCGACCGATGGGCACTCCCGTCTCCCTCCACTCTGCCGCCCGTCCTCCTGCTCCTGCTCCTGCCACCAGGCCGCCGCAGGGGAGCACGGCCGGCCGGAGCCCGGCGCCGGGATGCTGAGCCCGCGCCCACCCGCCCCCGAAATCTGCGATCCTTGGGTCAAGTGGGGCTTTTGTCCTCCGACAGGAAAAATATTCCAAAAATAGTCCACAAATCATCCAGGGACGATTTTTGCGTATTCTCTACCATTCTGATGTACTTTTGACTATTCTCTTGCACAGGGTGTCTAGAGCTCCGACCACTTTATTTCGGCACCGCACCCCCCCCATCATAATCACCATCATCATCATCATCATCATCAGCAGCATCAGCATCATCATCATCATCATCATCATCATCATCATCCACCATCATCATCATCATCATCATCATCATCATCATCATCATCATCATCATGCGCCCCTTCCGTCTCAGCGCCCTCCCGCGGCTCCAGCGCCCGCCCAGTGCCCCCTCCGCCCCGACCACTTCATTTCGGCACCGCACCCCCCCCCCGCTCCGCCCCCTCCCCCGCGCCGTCTCAGCGCCCCCGCGCGGCTCCAGCGCCCGCCCAGTGCCGCCTCCGCCCCGACCACTTTATTTCGGCACCGCACCCCCCCCCCCCGCTCCGCCCCCTCCCCCGCGCCGTCTCAGCGCCCCCGCGGTTCCAGCGCCCGCCCAGCGCCCCCTCCGCCACGACCATTTTATTTCGGCACCGCACCCCCCCCCCCGTTCCGCCCCCTCCCCCGCGCCGTCTCAGCGCCCCCCCGCGGCTCCAGCGCCCGCCCAGCGCCCCCTCCGCCCCGACCACTTTATTTCGGCACCGCACCCCCCCCCCGCTCCGCCCCCTCCCCCGCGCCGTCTCAGCGCCCCCCCGCGGCTCCAGCGCCCGCCCAGTGCCCCCTCCGCCCGACCACTTTATTTCGGCACCGCACCCCCCCCCGCTCCGCCCCCTCCCCCGCGCCGTCTCAGCGCCCCCCCGCGGCTCCAGCGCCCGCCCAGTGCCCCCTCCGCCCCGACCACTTTATTTCGGCACCGCACCCCCCCCCCGCTCCGCCCCCTCCCCCGCGCCGTCTCAGCGCCCCCCCGCGGCTCCAGCGCCCGCCCAGTGCCCCCTCCGCCTCGACCACTTTATTTCGGCACCGCACCCCCCCCCCGCTCCGCCCCCTCCCCCGCGCCGTCTCAGCGCCCCCCCGCGGCTCCAGCGCCCGCCCAGTGCCCCCTCCGCCCCGACCACTTTATTTCGGCACCGCACCCCCCCCCCGCTCCGCCCCCTCCCCCGCGCCGTCTCAGCGCCCCCCCCGCGGCTCCAGCGCCCGCCCAGCGCCCCCTCCGCCCCGACCATTTTTTTCGGCCCGCACCCCCCCTCCCCGTTCCGCCTCCTCCCCGCGCCTCTCAGCGCCCCCCCGGTTCCAGCGCCCGCCCAGTGCCCCCCCGCCCCGACCACTTTATTTCGGTACCGCCCCCCCCCCCCGCCCGCCGCCCCCCCGCACCGTCTGAGCGCTCCCCGCGGCTCGAGCGCCCGCCCAGTGCCCCCTCCGCCCCTCCGCCCCCTCCCCCACGCGTCTCAGCGCCCCCCACGGTTCCAGCGCTCGCCCAGCGCCCCCTCCGCCCCGCCCACTTTATTTCGGCACCGCAGCCCCTCCCTGCTCCGCCCCTTCTCGGACACCGTCTCAGCGCCCCCACGGTTCCAGCGCCCGTCCAGTGACTCGCGGCCCCCCCCTTCCTTTTTGTGCAAGAGCCATGGCACACGTGCCACTTGTTTTTTATTTTTCGTCCAAAATCCGCCTGTAGGGGGACATGCCCGACCTAATCCTTGGGCCCAGCACAAGGGGGGGGGGGGGAACTTCTGGGCCTCCCAGATGGGGTCAGCGTAGATGGTGCCGAAGGAATCGCGCCGCATCGCCGATGCATCGCCGATGCGGCTTGATGCGGACGCTGAGCTCCTCCACGCCGACGTTGCCGATGCGGCGTGATCCTCTGGCCCCGTCTACTCGGACCCCATGTGGGAGGCCTGTAAGGATTAAGTTGGGCACGTCCCTCTACAGGAGAAAACTCAAACATAGTCAAAACATCGTCTGGGGGGTGACGATTTTTCTGCTATTTTTGGCTAGTGTTGAATATGCTATCTTTTTTTCTGCCCCCCCACTTTTCGCCCATAACCCGCCTGTAGGAGGACATGCCCAACCTAAATCCAGGACTGGCCGGGTGGTCTGGGGCGCCAGTGGCCCTAATGGGGCCACCGGTCTGGTGCGCGTTCTGGGAGAGGTGGCGCGAAGGTATCTCAGTGCAGGACGGTGGGCCATGCCAGTGAAGGGAGGAGAAACATGTTTCCTCCCTTCGTTGGCGCGGGGTTCGGGGTACAGTGGAGGCCCATGCCAAGAAACACCCGGCTTACCTCCAGGGTGCCCTGGGCTTCTTGGGTTTCGATGGTTTTGTTGTTGAAAGCGCGACGCTCCCACGCCAAGGTTCAATGGAGGTCATGGGGTCTCAGGGCTGGGTTTCTTGTGGAAGGTTTCTTGTGGACGGGCCCCCGTTGTAGTTTTAGAGCCACCCCGAGCCCCTCCTCTGGGGTTTACTGCACAGCCCTCGCGTTCAAAAAACTTGGGCGCAGACAAAGCGCCCCCACCCCCCCCGTGGTCCCCCTCCTCCTCCAAGGGCTGTGCGAGAGAGGTCGGAGACCCGATTCTGAGGATGCTTCGAAAAAGCTGCGCAAACAAGTATACACCCCCCCCCACCACCTGCACCCCCCCCCCCAGTCCCCAGTTTGGGAAGGGGGGTCCAGGTTGGGGTGTGGGTGTCCCTGTACTCCCATTTGATCAGTTCTGCCCTGTTCGATGCCTTCCTTCGGCGCACTGTCTAAAGGGCTTTGTTTGTAGGGGTGCGTATTGCGAGGATGTCTCCTCTGCCCTCTATCCAGACAAGTTGCGTAACACGCGTTGGGAAAACGGACAGCGGAGTTATCAATTGGTGGCATCATGAAGTATCTGCGTATCTCGATGGGCTGAAACGCAACCTCTGTATCGTCTGTGCCTTGCCCGTGTCTCAACAGCGAAGGACGCAAAGTTGAAGCGAGAGCTCGCTGAGCTTCAGGAGGAAGTGAAGGCGAAGAAGCATGACTTGTTGATGACGCTCGCCGATTTTGAGAACAACAAGAAGCGTTTTGCGAAGGACCATAGTTGACTCAGCACACGTAGTACCCGTGTGGCATTGTATAGCGACAGCTCGGCATAATAGTAGAGAGATAAGGGTAGGGGCACTTGAGTCACACGATGTGTGCTTGCTCCCTATCCTCCTTCATTTCTCCTGATATGCATCTACCCATATCTGCCCATTCCCTTTGATACCGTTTCCCATCTTCGTTCATTCCATCTCCCCCTCGGAAGAGTATGATTGGTTGGACACATTGGACTTCAAGCGATGGCTCACATCGGGGAACTATGCAGCGGGGCTTGAAGTCAAGCAGAATTGCATTTGCGTCTTTCGCATGAACTGCTGTATCGATTACTGTGGCTCGCAAACGTAAATCGTCAGCGTTCTCTTCTGGACTTGCCCTGCGAGCCCCAGGAGCGAGAAACTCGCAAGCGGACGGCAACTGTTGGTTTTGCGAGGCAGATGGTGGACACGTACTCGACGTTTGAGGACACGGCGACTCTGGCCAGCCCTTGTATCAGTCATTGCCCACTCGTTGCCGATTTGGGCCACTACTGTTTGTTGCAACGTGTCCGTCGTTATGATCGTGTGTCGTCGCCGCTAGGCTTGCGCACATGAGTTCAACCTGATTGCCACGTGTTCAAGCTTGGCGACCCTTGACGTAAAGCCGGTACGTTTTGATGTGCACGTGTATGTCTCGGCGATGTTGTTATAGTGGCCAGGAGCTCCTCGTGGCACACAACGAGCAGTCCAGCGAGGCAGGCCAAGCATTACTCGAGGGCGTCGTGCTCACGCGCGACCTTTATAGGCCAGACCGCGTTCAGAGGGCAGCGAAGAGAAGAGGGGTCAGCAAGAGCAGATTCGGGCCGAACCGTGAAGTTTGAAACATGCGGCGGCAGCGCGTATAGAACCGCCAGCGTGAGTCCAGGGCTGCTCTCAGCCAGAACGTCGCGGGGATCAGCCCACACGTGGCTCCGCCAGAGCGATGGATCTCTTGCAGGATCCTGCAATGCCAGATTTGGGCTGAGCTGGGCTCAGAAACCGCTCGGTGGCCTTACATTTTGGCTGAACCAGATTTGGGAAGCACCCAACCAAAAATCTGGGCGCGGCTAGTCTCAATTGATTGGGCCGGGTTTGAGCTGAGACAGCTTGGTTCACGCCCGATGTTTCCCCTCATTTCTCTTGGTGTCTCGTCGTCCTCCTCCTCCTCCACCTCCTCCTCCTCCTCCCTCCTCCTCCTCCCTCCTCCTCCTTGTCCTCGTCCTGCTCGTCCTCCTCATCCTCCTCCTCCTCCTCCTCCTCATCCTCCCTCAACCTGCGGGCGATGTGGCACAGCGAGTGTGCGCGACTAGAGCAAGACATGTCCGCCTCGTGGCCAGACCAGGGCGGGGGCTGAGGTGCTCAGTCGATTGCCCAGGGGCCTCGCTCCAAAGTCAGGAGCCCCCTTCCCGCAGCGACGATGTGCTCACCAGTGCCCTGGCTTGACCAGGGCTCCGCGGCCCCCCGAACCGAGCCGAATCTAGGGGAACGAACAACGACATAAACAGAAAACTCGGAGGTCCGCGCGGATTTGTCGGATCGGCGCTGGACTCCTTTCTCTGGTGCGCGGAGCGCGCCGGTGGCGGCGCCGGAGGCGATGCCAGGGGGCCCCAGGATTGAAAAACGGGTCCCGGGGAAAGGGTCCGGACTTCCAGGGACGCAGGGACGCCGTGCCGAAAAAGTCAGGACGTCGCATGTCTGGGGGGGCAGGTTCATCCTGCGAAAAAGCGCGCGAAGCCGAATACATGGGGCCCAAAGGTATACACCACCACCCACCTCCCTCATTCCCTTCCCTGCTCCCAGGAGAGAGGAGAGGAATAGGAGAGTGGAGGAGGGAGGGGGAATCGAGGTGGTGGTGGTGGTGGTGATGGTGGTGCATATTATTGGGGAAGCAAAAAAGACAAGGGGAATCGACGCCCGAGCGGTGGCGAGTCCCAACGCCCACCGCAGGTGTTGCAAGACCTCCGGGACTTTGTGCGTTGCCGCCCCGCCGAGGTGCGAGTGGCCGAGGGCCGCCACAAGCTTCAAGTCGGACGTGTCCCTCCACAGGAGGAATATTCAAGAATCGTCCAAATAGTCTGGGCACTATTTTTCAACTATTTCTGCATATGTTTGGGCAGTTTTTGAGTATACTTCATTTTTCGTCCAAAATCCGCCTGTATGGGGGACATGCCCGACCTAACACAAGCTCCCTGGAGCTTCCCTGGTACGATCGAAACGTCAAGGAGGAAACGGTACCCATACCGCTACCCCCTCCCTCGTTTTTACCTTGTGGGGCCTCCTGGGGGGCCCCCGTCACCACCGCTGGATTCGCTTCAAAATACGGGAGAGGTCCGGGGAATAGCGGTAATTATCGGTACTTTCTGTTTTCCCCAGAAGCGGGTACGGAAAGAAAGTGCACGAAGGCCGGCCGACAACAGCTCTTGTTCACGTTGAGTCGGGTCTCTGTTGCCGGCGTGGCCGCGAAGGTTGTCCCTGTGAGACAGGAGATGGTTTTTTATTAGTTGTACCCGCACACACCGGTCGTTGAAAGTAGGAATTCTTGGATTCCCAGATCCCAATCTATTTCATGCGCCTACCTACTGCAAAAACCGACGGGCTTTTGCTGTGCTTCGCTATATTCTCTGGGAGGACCTGGACCCAATCCACTACATCCGCCTTCCTACTTCATGCTTCTACCTACTTCTTCCGACCGACGTGCAGCGTCGGTTACGAGGGGGTCGGGCCGGGGGGCCGGCCCCTCCGAGCTCTGGCGCCGTGCTCGCAGGCACGGTGTGGGGCTGACGGGCATCGGAGAGCCCCCAGACGCTTCCAGAGGCGGCCGTCGTCATCCTCGTCGTCGTCCTCGTCCTCGTCGTCATCGTCGTCCTCGTCCTCGTCATCGTCATCGTCATCGTCGTCCTCGTCGTCGTCCTCGTCATCGTCCTAAGGCCGCCTGCCCAACAGCTGCCGCTCCGTCGGTTCTGAACAACATGTGCTGTTTGGCATCGTACCTATTTCTTTTCTGTCTGGGGCCCCCATGGCGCTCCCAGGCATCTGACGCCGTAAGTTTTTCACGTGGACCCTCGAGAGATAAGACCTTTTCCCCAGGGGCTGGCTTGTCTTCCCGAGTCGATGTTTGACGGCACAGGGGCCCGGTGAGGGCCTACAGAGGCCGAACACGGCCGAAAACCGTCGGTCATGAGAGGAGGTGGATGCGGAGGAGGAGGAGGAGGAGGAGGGGAGGAGGAGGAGGAGGAGGAGGAGGAGGAGGAGGTGTGAAACGCAGAGTGGATTGCCTGATGCAGTGAGGGAAGGCGTAGCACGAACGCCCGCTGCCGCTGCCATTGCAGATCAACTCTTAGCAGACTTTCAGGAGTCACGTGCCCAGGGCGCGCGCGTGTGTGGAAAATCTCAAGGCACGAGTCGATCTTCATCGAGCAGGCTCCGGGCGGAGCCAGGGAAGGAAGTAGTGGGATTCGCATTGATCTTGAGCCAGGTCGAGTCTTCCAGCGAGGACGATGGCGGCCAGGACGAATGCCGAGGGGAGCCAGTCAGGCGGACAGTGGCGTCGCTTGTCTGGCGGCGGCAACGACGCGGCGACGGAGTACAAGAGCTGGAGGCGCTGGATCGGAGCCAAGCTGGCCGTGGATGTCAGGCGAGGCTTGCCGCCAGAGGCGGTCGGACCGCTGGTGCTGACGCTCTTGGATGACGAGGCGGAGAAGGCCTGCGAGCACTTGGAGCTCGCGGACCTGGAGCAAGAGTTCGGGGAGATGGCCCTCTTCCGCGCTCTTGATGAGAGGTTTCCTGACAAGGAGGCCAGTGACAGGATCGGAGACGCCCTCGAGAGCGTGTTCGGGCTCACCATCGAGCGGGGAGAGACCTCGTCGGCGTACACGGGACGAGCCCGCACCGTCTTCGCGAAGGCGAGAAAGGAAGGAGTTGGGCTACCTCCGGTGGCACAGGGGTTCTTGCTCCTGAGAGGGGCGAGGCTCGGCATGGAGCGCCGCGCTGTCGTGCTGGCGGCGAGTCAGCGCCAGTGGGACTTCACGGCGATGTCAGCGAGTCGGACAGCGTACCCGAAGCAGATGCCGACGGCCAACGTGCACGAGGCGATTTCCGGAGGAGGACGAGTGGATGGAGCAGTCTCCAGAGCCGTGGGCACCTGCGGCGGAGACAGAGACGGCATCGGTCCCAGACAGCGTCGAGGCGGAGATCAACGAGCTGTTGCACGAGGACGGCCCCATCGATGAGGAAGACGCGATCGACATCTTGGCTACGTGGAAGGAGACGAGGACAGCAATGACGAGAGAGAAGTTGCAGAGAGGTTTGCCCTCCAAGGAGAACTACAAGCGACTCACGGACCGGAGCAGGTGCTTTCTGTGTAGACAGGTCGGCCACTTCAGCAAGTACTGCCCCAACCGAAAAGGACAGCAGACACCACCGAGTGGCCAGAGACGACCAGGTGGCTTCATGAAGCGCGCGTACCAGTCCAAGCCAGTGAGCCAGGGGGCCGTGCAGGTGCTGATGGTGCGTGAGAGCGGCCTGGAGATCCACTACGCGACGGACGACATGTGGAGCGAGGTGGACATCCTGCTGGCGTCATGGTCGAAGGACGGCAAGGCGTCGCTGATCACGAAGCTGACGAACGAGGAGCGCTTCCGACGGCTGGCCCGTGAGCGTCGAGATCACGACCAGGAGGCAGATCAGGACGAGATCGAGGAGGCAAACGACGAGGAGCCAGAGTCTGAAGTGTGCGCGTGCCACGCCCCCGGGTGTGGAGCGCTGGACTCAGGGCGTGGCATGGCCCTGATTGGCACGGAGACGCTGAAGAAGCACACCGAGGCGACGGGCATCGAGCCTGAGTGGGAGAATGACGTGGCGAGCATCAGGTTCAAGAGCTACGATGGCAAGCTGAGACGATCCCAGGAGGCCTGCTGGATCCAGTGGCTGTTCCCTGAGGTGAACAAGCGGGTGAAGATCCTCTGCTACGTGATCGAGGGATCCGCCGGACTCCTGATCAGCAAGCCCGTGATGAAGATGCTGCAGGCGACTCTCGACATGGCGGAGAACCAGCTCCACATCAAGCGTCTTGGAGTCAGCGTACCTGCACGTGAAGCAGAGGGCAGTGGACACTTCGAGGTCGACCTGCTGGGGAGGACGTTCGAGAATCTGAAGATTCCAGACACGTCGGTGGACGACTCGAAGCTGAGGATCGAGAAGCTGGACGGCCATTTTCAGTAGGGCCGGGCCGGCGCCCTGAGGCCAATGAGGACGTGGAGGTTCTCGGCGTCCGGGTTCCAGGCGTGATGGAGATTTCCTCACCGCCGCGGGTTGCTCCGGTGGCCCCGCAGTACGGCATGACGGACATGGGCCCGTTCGATAAGGTGAACGGCTGGGATGCCCGGGCCCCCGGGGACCTGAAGGACTTGCGGGGCCGAATCGAAACTGAGGAGCCCGAGTGGATCATCATGACACCTCCCTGTGAAAAGCTAACGGCCCTCCAGAATATGACCCCGGATAGTAAACGAGTCGACCTGGAAAAGCATCCTCGGGAAGTTCTGGAAGCTAAGAGGTGCGTTTTCGAGTGTGTTCGGATTGCAGAATACCAGATGTCCAAGGGACGGCACTTCCTCTTCGAGGCCCCTCCGACGGCTACGACTTACAACCTACGCCCCATGATACGACTCCTGCAGAATCCAAAGGTCTTCACGGGGATTACCAGTGGGTGCCGAGTGGGTCTCTGATATCCGATTTCAGGACTTCTTCTGAGCAAGCGCTGGAAGTTCGTTTCGTCCTCGCCTGAGGCCGCTCGTGAGCTGACGCCCCCGTGCTGTGGCGGCCATGCACATGTTAGGACCGAGGGCGGGAGCCCGCTACCAGGACTCGGCATGTCTCTTCCCAGGTGCACCCAGATCTACCCGACGAAACTGGTTCGTAAGATCCTTCAAGGTTTTTCCAAGGCAAACGTGATCCGGGACGGCGGGGAGGAGGCGGTGGCGCATGCTGTGGAGGACAAGGACGAGGACGGAGGCAAGGAGATCCCAAGACGACCCCAGAGTTTTCAAGCGGCCCTCCGACGGTTACACGTAAATTTGGGACATGCGACGGTGGCGACGATGATCCGACACTTACGACATGCGAACGCGAGTTCCGAGGCCATCCGACAGGCGGCGAACTTTTACTGTGATGAGTGTGCATCTCGGAAACGACCCGGCATTGCTAGGTATAGCTCCCTTCCGACTCCCCAACCACATCTGAAGATGGTGCGCATGGATGTGAAAGAGCTTCCCTACTATATTCCTGGTGAGCGTCGGAAGTGTCTAAATATTGTGCGTGATGCTTCGTCGTTCCACGTGATGGCCCTGTTCTGGGAGGGTGAGACCGAGTCCTCCTATGTATTTTTGCGCACGTATCGTGACAACTGGACTCGGCCTCTCATGAGGCCCAAGTTGCTGAAGGTAGATGCTGGCAGCGCGAAGATCTCGGTAGTGTTTCAGGATGCTATGGACAGGGACGGGACGATCATCGTAGACACGGCAGGCACCGCTAAGGAACAGAACGGGAAGGCAGAGGTGCACGGTAAGTGGTTTGAAGAGATGCTTCAGGCCATGCTAGACGAGCTTCAACCTCAGGACGAGGAGGAGTGGCTCGAGTGCGTTGCTCAGCTCCAAGAAGCAAAGAACTCGATGTTGAATGTTGGAGGCGTTTCACCATGTCAGATCGTTTTCGGCCGAAATCCAGAAGTTCCAGAAGATTTGCTTCAGGAGAACCCGAATTTGATTGCCAACAGCTGCCTGCTGCATGACCCTGTGGCTGCTCGTGCGGCCTGCATCCGCGCGATGGCTCGTCGTGTGATTTTAGCGCATAACGAGAAGAAAGCTGCTCGTGTAGCTCTGGATGATCGACCCCGGGTCCGTCGAGTGTATCAGGCTGGGGATGTGGTTGCAGTCTGGAGGAAAATGAAAGGAGCTATTGCCGGAAAGCAGTCCTCTTATCGATGGCGCCCTGGTATCTGTGTAGGACCTGTTCGAGGTAATTACTGGGTTGCTCTTCCTGGGAGTTTAGTGAAAGCATCGCCTGAACATCTTCGGGTCGCCACGCAAGAGGAACGGACCGCCTGGGGACTCGTTGAGGCCGAGCTTCGATCGACAACGGTGGATTTGGACAATCTTCAGGGTCGATACTTCGAGGACATCACCAAGGGGCCACGGCCCCCAGAGGGCCCGGAGGATGAGGAGGGGCAAGAGCATCCAGCATGGGATCATCAAGAGGAGAAGCAGCAGGAACAGCAGCAATCGAATGACGACGATCCGACTCCAGGGACGACGACCAATGCGACGCGAGGTCGTTCGGCGAGTGTTCCTTTCCAGCTCCGACTCCAGCGCCCCAGTACCCTAACTCCAGAGTGCCCGTGGGAGACCCGAGACACCCTACAGCCTCAAAGAGGAGCTCCGAGAAGGTCCACGATCGAGGTCAGTTCCAGCAGATACCGGAAGAGGAGGAGAACCTCCCAGTCCGGAAACAACCTAGGCTTGCAGGTCCACCAGGTCTATCTGATGTCGGCTGTGCTGAGATTCCTCTGGTCGACTGCGGCGCGGTCACCACCGAGGGCGACGACGAGGCCCCGATCCTGGCAGTCACGGAGACCGAAGTCTTGCTAGCTAGAGGACGAAAGGAGGAGCGTGAGAAGGACCCGAGGTGGATGACGAAGGAGGGTAAGCAGCAGGTGGAGGCGGCCTATCAGAAGGAGTACCTAAAACTAATCTCGGAGCAGAAGGCGTGGAAACCCAGGTCTCTAGAAGAATCCCGGCGACTCCGACTAGAAGTTCCAGATCGGATTTTACCCTCCAGGCCAGTTTTGACGTTGAAGACGGACGACGATGGAAGTACGGAGTTACGATGCCGCATGACGGCCTAGGTTTTTAAGGATCCGGATGTATTGGACATGGTACGCGCTGGCAAGACTCAGAGTCCGACTTTGTCTGTGACTGGTAAGGCAACTCTTTTACATGTGGTGGCCTCTGCTCGGTTTCAGCTGGTCCTGGGAGATATTCGGGGAGCTTTTCTGGAAGCTGATGCTGAATCACGTCCGAACGGGCCCGTCTTCGTGTGTCCCCCGAAAAATCATATTCCAAAGGGCCACCACCCAGAACAGCTGCGCGAGCTTGTGAACGGCTACGGCGGAGTTGACCAGCCACAGCGGTGGTATTCCACCTTTAAGCGCTACGCCGAGGAGATTGGTTTCGTGGCCCATCCTCTCGATCCTTGCCTGTTTATGCTGTTCGGGCCCGTGAGGTCCAACAAGGAAGTGCCGTCTATGCCGATCTGTATTCCTGAAGGTTCCAGATACGGGGTTCCAGGGGCTCTCTGTGGCATTTTCGGTATCCACGTGGACGACGCGGCAGGAGGAGGCAGGGGGACACGATGGGAAGATGCGATGTCTAAAATGAAGCAACGATTTCCATGGAGGAAGTGGCGCCATGGGGAAGGGGAGTTTACGGGTTCATGGCTACGACAACTGCCGGATGGTGCGATTGTGCAATCCCAAAAGCAGTATGCGGAAGAAATGAAGCCAGTAAAACTCAAACGGAACGCCCCAAACGACGGCAAGGCACTTCCAGGAGAGATCTCGGCCCTTATTTCAATGAATCAGGCTGGTAATTGGCTGGCAGGTCAGTCTCGACCGGATTTATCATGCCAGGTCAGCCGCAACCAGCGGCTGATGCCGCACCCGTCTGTGAACGAGATAAAAGATGCCAATATGCTCATGCGACGTGCCCGGCAGCATAAGGATCTTACTGTTCGCTTCTTTCCGATCCCTCTGAAAGATATTCGCATGATGATCCACACCGACTTTGCCAAAGGAGAGAACGACGGTCTTAGGAGAACCCAGGGAGGCTATGTGCGGAGCGTGACCGACCCCAGTATGCAGAAAGGTGAAGTATCACCTTGGAACCCTCTTATCTGGAGAAGCTACCGGCTCAAACGAGCCATGGGATCGTCCTCGGGCGGGGAGGCATCGGTACTATCGGACGGAGTGGGACATATGGAATGGGCGATGTGTTTCTTCGCGGGGACTATGTTTCCACAGTTTACTCTGGAAAACCGGTACGAGTTTCTCAGGAGGTTCGAGGCTATCGCCATCGTCGATGCTAAATCCGCCTATGATCATATAAACAAGATTGGGTCTCCAGGGGCTCTCGAGGATAGGCGATGTGCGGTGGAGATGATGATTGCCCGGCAGGCCCTCCAGAGGTTCAAGGGGTGCCTTCGGCGGGGGCCCACATCGTTGATGTTGGCGGACGCTCTCACGAAGGAGAAGGCTGATGCTCATGATCTTCTCAGAGCATGCATACGATCAGGTGTGTATCAGTTGGCAGATGAGTCATTGACGTTGGAGTCAGCGGCTGCTGAACGTGAGCGTCGCCGCGTCCGTAGGGAGCTTTCCTCAAGCCATGCCGGAGCACCTCAGCCCCCAGTGGAGCACGTCTCTTGCGTGGTGTGCGAGATGGTCGGAGTGAGTGCTATCGGAGATCCTGACAGTGTGCGCAGCTTGCTCGATAGCCTGACGACAGTGGGAAACCCATACCCGACGATAGTCAAGTGTGTGTCGTCGTCTAGGAAGATGTCTGTGACCATTCCGGCGATGGTGCTGGACTCTGGCCTCACCGGCGCGACGCGCGGCATGAAGGTGACCCTGTCGTACCACAACCGTACGAACTACATCCAGGTGGGCTGTCCGGCGACTGTGGAGGACGCGATGGTGCTGCAGCTGGCCGAGCTGGAGACGAGGTACGCCCAGAAGGTGAAGACGCCGAAGGTGAAGATGGAGATTCCTCAAGGATGCGATCTTGTGGAAGATGTTCTCAGGTTCCCACCGTGGGAGACCGAGGGCAAGGGGACTGCCCGGTCCAGTGTGCTGAAGGAGGAAGAGGAAAGGCTCGTGAAGCTTGAGCGCGTCGAGATCCCGAAGGATAGCATCGAGTACAAGGAGTCGATCGAGGCTGTCGCAGTGGCTGTGACGGTGGAGATGAGCAACTACCCGGAGCAGAGAGATGCCATTTTGGCGGCGCTGGAGAGTTCGTTCGGCCTGTCGATGACGAAGGTGGAGGCCGACGATTGATCAGGACCATGGTCAAGCGGATCAGGCATCAGGCAACTAGAATTTTGAGTGAATGTGAAATGCAGAGTGGGTTGCCTGATGCACTGAGGGAAGGCGTAGCACGAACGCCCGCTGCCGCTGCCATTTCAGATCAACTCTTAGCAGACTTTCAGGAGTCACGTGCCCGGGGCGCGCGCGTGTGTGGAAAGTCTCAGGGCACGAGTCGATCTTCATCGAGCAGGCTCCGGGCGGAGCCAGGGAAGGAAGTAGTGGGATTCGCAGGAGGAGGAGGAGGAGGAGGAGGAGGAGGAGGAGGAGGGAGGAGGAGGAGGCTGTCGGGAGGAGGAGGAGGAGGAGGAGAGAGGAGGAGGAGGAGGAGGAGAGGAGAGTAGGAGGAGGAGGAGGAGGAGGAGGAGAGGAGGAGGAGGAGGAGGAGAGAGGGAGAGTAGGAGGAGGAGGAGGAGGAGGAGGACGAGGACGAGGACGAGAGCATGAGGAAGAGGATGATGAGGAGGAGGAGGACCACGAGGACGAGGGGGAGGAGGAGGAGGAGGAGGAGGACGAGGAGGAGGAGGAGGTAGGGCTTGTTCACGTCTAAGTGACCGACCCGCCCAGACGGCGCGCCAGGGCCACGCTCGAGAAGTTTGACCTCAAGCCGCTGTCCGTGGAGCCGGGCGAGCCCTTCGTCGCTGCCCGCCACGAGTGCGCCTCGGACCCGCTGGTCGAAGAACTCTAGGCCCAGCACGTCGGTGCCCGCGCCGCCCTGGCGAGAGGCCCTGCGGCGGGGGCGCGGGCGCCGATCCCCATGGCACCCCGGCCCCGGGGGCCCCGGGCCCGGCTCGGGGCTCCAGGGACGGGGCTCAGTGTTATAATTATGTCGAGCGTGTCCCCCTACATGTGGATTTCGACGAAACAAGTGAAGATACCCCAGAAACACCCCAAAAAGGTCAAAACATACTGAAAAAATAGTTCCCCGACTATTTGGGGATTATTTTTGGTTTATGTTTGAAGTATATTTTTTTTGTCGAAAATCTTCTGTTGGGGGACAGGCAGGCCCGACTTAACCCCGGGCCCGGCTCGCCGAAACCGTCCGAAAAGCCTCCCGGAACCCGTCCCGAAGGGTCTTCGGAGAAGGTTTCGGGAGGGCTTCGGCTGTTTTGAAAAGAAACCAGTCCCTAGCGAACCCTGGATTTTCTAGGGTCAGTGCAACGGGGGTCAGGCAGAGCGCCGGATCTTGCAGGAGCCTGCAGGTGCACTGACCTGGGCTTGAGCGCAGGGTCCTGCAGGATCTTGCAGGATGTTCCAGGATCTTGCACGGCCTGACTGACCTGGGTCTGGACATATCCGGGTCAGTAGATCCCCGATAGGTGTCGTCTTTCCGACACAGACTTCTCGCTTGGGGCCTCAAGGAGGACGATTTCAGCCTGGGATCCCATTCATTGGAACAGCAAAAAATGTAGATTCTTTTTTCTCGGAGCTCCGCTCGGAATTCTTAGATCGGCGTTGTGCCGCGGCGCCTCTGGCGCCGCCTCTGGTGCGCTCCGCGCGCCAGGGAGAGGGTTCAGCGCCGATCCAAGACCAGCCCCGCGTGGCGGAGCGACAGGCCATCCACTTGCAAGGCATAGCGTGACGTTCCCACACCAAAAACCAATGGACGTCCTGGGATCGCAGGGTTGGGTTTCTTGTCGAAGGTCTCTTGTGGTCGAGCTCCTACTGCAGGAGGTCACCCGAGCTTCTACTCGTCGTAGGCTTCATGCGTATCGGCGACAAGCGCCCACTGAGCGCTCGATTGCGCAAGAGAGCGCCCGATAGCGCCCAGCAGCGCCGAATAGCGTTTACATCGCGCCCAATAGCGACCACAGGTAAGGTGTTACTGTGGCCCGTTGGTTGTTAGTGCGGCCTGGTGGGTGTCGGTATGGCCAGGGTTCCTCCAGAGGGTATTAGTCAACGAGTACGGGGAGAGGGGGGGAGTCTCCAAAGAGCCTCCTCCCCCCCCCTTCACTGAAGAGCCTCTCGGAAGAGCCTCTTGGGGCCGCCGAAGAGCAACTTGGAGCCGCCGACGAGCTTCTTGGGCTCTCCGAAGAGTCTCTTGGAGCAGCCGAAGAGCCTCGTGGGCTCTCCGAGGCCTCCAGGGTCTCCAAGGATCCCTCTAAAGAACCCTCCAGAGGCCTCTAAGGAGCCCTCGAGAGCCTCCCATTCCTCCGCACTCCATCGCACTCCTGTCACTCCTCCGCACGTCACTCCATTCCTCCCCCCTCTCCGTACTCCTCCCCACTCCTCTGTACCTTTCCGCAGTTCACCGTACTCCTCGGCATCCCTCCCCACTCCTCGAAACTCCCTCCGTCTTGTTTTTCGGCGTTCCTCCCCACTCCTCTGGAGTCCTCCCCACTCCATCGCACTACTCCCTCCACCTTCCCATTCCAAGGCACTCCTCCTCTTGCCTCCTCCTCATTCCTCCCTCGCTCTCCCTCCTCCACTTTCCTCCCTCCTCTCTCCTCTCTCCGTCCCTCCCCATTCTATTGCACTCCTCGGCGCTCCTCCGGAGTCCTCCCCACTCCATCGCCTCCCTCCTTCCCCCCATTCCATAGCACTCCTCGTCCTCCCTCTTTCCCTCATCGTTTCCTCCTTCTCCCTCCTTCCTTCCCCCTCGTCCCCTCCCTGCTACTACGACGACGACGACGACTATTATTAGTATTAGTACTAGTACTCGCACTAGTGCTGGTACTCGTACGGCGACGACGACGACGACTACTACTACTATTACTACTACTACTACTACTACTACTACTACTATTACTACTACTACTACTACTACTACTACTACTACTACGACTACGACTACGACTACGACTACGACTACGACTACTACTACTACTACCACTACTACTACTACTAGTACTACTACTACTACTACTACTACTACTACTACTACTACTACGCCGAATACTACGACTACTACTACCACTTCTACGACGACTACGACTAATACCACTACTACCACTACTACTACTATTACTATTACTGCTATTACTACTACTACCACTACTACTACTACTACTACTACTACTACGATTGCTATTGCTAATACGATTTCTACTATTACTATTATTATTACTACTACTACTACTTCTACGACGACAACAACCACAACTACTACTACTACTACTACTACTACTACTACTACTACTTCTACTACGTCTACGGCTACTACGGCTACCAGTAGTACCAGGACTACAAGGACTACGACTACTACTACTACTACTACTACTACTCCTACGACTACTACTACTACGACTACGACTACGACTACTACGACTACTACTAATAATAATACTGCGAGAGCAACTACTACAGCAATTCCGACTAGTACCGCTGCTGCTATTGTTGTTGCAATTACTACAACAACTACGACTACTACTACTGCTACCGCTACCGCTACAACAACAAGAACTACTACTGCTACTACGACTACTACTACTACTACTACTACTACTACTACTACTACTACTACTACGACTACCACTCCTACTACTACTACTACTACGAGTACTACTACTACTACTACTACTACTACTACTACTATTTAAGTACTGCTGCTACTACTACTACTACTACTACTACTACTACGGCTACTACTACCTTTACTACTACTACTACTACTACTACTACTACTACTACTACTACTACTACTACTAAAACTACTACTACTACTACTACTACTACTACTACTACTACTACTACTACTACTACTACTACTACGATGGTTCCAGGGGGGAGTTACTGTGGCCACTTTTGCCCGCGCGGGCATGCATCACCTTGAGGGTTGCGAATCTTTCCAGATCTAACATGAGATACCTTTACATATTACTTGTCATTGAACGGCCAGCGCGGGCCACAGTATCTCCCATCCGGCCGCGCGACGGGCCACACTAACACCCAACGGGCCGTACTTCCACCCCACGGGCCACAGTAGCAACCGGTCGCATAGCGACCAACGGCGCCCAAGAGCGCCATGCGAGGGAGGGGCATCATGTCCGCCTCGCGCGCTATGCGGCGCCATGGGGCCAGCCAAACGCTTCCGTGAGCTGCTTCCTAAAACACGGTCAGGGTGCCCCTCAGAGCCGGGGCGCCGTGTGGAGAGCACGGCGGTCGGGCGGCCGGCAGCGCGGGGGGCCATGAACGTGGGGGGGTCGAGGATTGCGCGAGAAGTTGGCCCCAAAGGGATCCTCACCTCGTGGGCCCCCAAACAGTGTGGTGACCACGCCGTGTGGTGGTGATCGTATCTTATTCATTATTTTGCCGATCGGCGCGGGCCCTCGCACCCCTTCCTCCCCCACCTCTCCGTGGAGTGGATCTTGGCTGTTTTTGGCGCCTGTTTCGAGCAGGTAGAGTCTCCCCCCAGAGGACGCACTGCCCCAAACAGTCGCACTAAGCAGAGGTCTGGTGGCAGACCCTCCCCCCTCCCCCCCCTCCGCCGAATGTCGAAACGCCGATTAAAAATTGCTCACGTGGTGAGTCGGTGGGGATTCGGGGTGACCGCATGATATTGGAATCGGGTCGTTCTTCGAGGATGTCTTGGGCGAATGGGGCCTCCGAGGTCCCAAGACCGTGCGGTGACGGATCGCGCGGTGAGGTCTCCTGGAATGTCGAGGTCACCGTGCGGTCCGTCGCCATTGAATTGTTCTGTCCGGGCACTTCAGTCCCTGCCCTCGCTGCTTTGGGAGCCTGGATGTGAGCAGCGCGCTGCAAAAGACCCCCGATGAACGGCCCACGAAGGGCCACCGCGGGCCAAAGGAATGCACGAAATGCGCATGCTACTCCGCCCCGCGGGCATTGCTCCCCCCCCACTTGAATGTAACGAGCCATCGAGGCCAGCGCTCTCGCCACACCTCAGGACCCAGGGACCGCCACGGGTGGGCCCTGCTCGAAGAAGCTTCTTGTAAGAAGGGTAGCTTGAGAGGGCTGCGTTCTGGAAGAGCATTCGACTTCCAAAGCGCGCAGGCCTGTCAGGCCGCCTCGAGCAGCGCGCCGAGGGAGGGTACTGCAGGTTCGCGTCGTGTCGACCGGTGGCGATCCCGCCGCCGGCGTTCAACGTTGAACGCCGTCGGCGACCCAGAATCGGTCGATGTTGAGCAATGTGACGTTTCGGAGACGGCCGATCGTTCAAGGTTGAAGGATCCCCGCGGTGTCAGAGACCAAGGCTAGGGTCGACTCGACGCGACCCTTCCGTAGCAGCAGCCGCAGACAGCATAGGGGGGGCGTTCACCAAATGTTTGCCCCTGGCCCCGCATGTGTTCGCATCCTCCTCGCGGTGATTGTTGGACGTCGCCTATAGCTCTCCCGCCGTGGTCCACCCAGATGGCGGCGCCGTGCGCACGTGGAGTGCCCATGGCAGCTTTCACCAAAGTGCATTTTGCCAAAGGGTGTCCTGCCAACTTTTGGGTGCAGGGAAAAGGGGGAGGGCAGAGATAGATCCTCCGCCGCGAAGACAGAACGACGATCCGTGTCCAGAGCCTGGGTCTTTGGAGTCCTCTTCCAGGCACCGGGACCGACCAGTAAGAGCCCGTTTCCTTATTGCTTGGGGCATGACGGGAGTCATGGCCCCCGCTCCCCCCCCCCTATGACGTAACGCTCCCCCCCCCAATGCGCTCCGGGCACTGCCGCCGTGAGCATTGGGATCCTCGTAGGTGTCCGCGTAGGAATCCGCATACGTGTCTGGTCCGCAGGCGTCGTCGTCGTCCTCGTCGTCGTCGTCGTCGTCGTCGTCGTCGTCCGTCGTCGTCGCTCGTGGTTCGTCGCTCGTCGCTCATCGTCGTCGTGCGCGCGGACGCGGCTGGAGCCTGTTTTTTAATCCGGGCCGATGACGGCAATCATCTGGGGGGGAGGGGGTCGATGACGTCACGTTTCGCGCCGGCGGCGTCTGGGAATGCTTAGGAATGACGGAGGACGGGTAGCACGAACATGTAGGTGGCGATGTGCACTACAGCGCCTGTGTACATCACAGTGCCCGCATGCACCGCAGCGCCTGTGTACACCACACCGCCGATGTACACCACAGCAGCCGCGTGCAACACAGCGTCAGGTTGTGCCACCGTGCGTGCGGGCACAGCAGCTCCTGCGTACACCACAGCGCCTCCGTACCCCACATCAGCCGTGCGCAACACAGCACCAGTGTACACCACAATGCCTGCGTGCACTGCAGTGCCTGTGTACGCCACGGCGCCTGTGTGCACCACATCAGCCGTGTGCAACACAGCACCATTTTTGTATATAGAATGTCAAAAGGGATCCTTGTGACAAAATGGAACGCGTGTGGATTCCAGAGAGAATAATGGAAAACAAATCCTCATGGACAGAGGAGCGCCGCTGGAATCTACGAGTCCCCCCGAGTCCGCCCGCATCACCGTAACTCCCACTTGCGTGCAGGAGGCTCCAGCTAAACAAGCCGTCCGAGAACCAAGTGGACCGATTCAATCGACCATTTTGCTGTGCATGCTGAGATGCGCACGTGCGTTGTAACGCCAAGCCGCACGACAGGGGGTAAGAAGGAGGAAAAGGATGAGGAGGAGGAGGAGGAAGAGGAGGAGGAGGAGGGAGGCGGGAAAAACGTCGCATTCGATTCTCAGAACTTTCCTGGCGTGGCGTTTCGTTGCCCGCAACAGATCCTGACGTACATGCTCCTTCTACCTGTCCTGTGCACGCAGGCGCTGTGGTGTACAGTACCGCTGCGTTGCACGCGGATGCTGTTGTGTAGACAGGCGCTGTGGCGTGCACAGGCGCTGCGGCGCACGCAAGCATTGTGGTATACACAGGCGTTATGTTGCACATGGCTGCTGCGGTGTATGTGCACCGGCGCTGTAGTGCTCCCAATTATTGTGGTATACACGGGCGGTGCGTTGCACACGGTTGTTGCGGTGTACGCAGGCGCTGTGGTGCACACGCGCGGTGTGGTGCACGCGAGCGTTGTGGTGTACACAGGCGCAATGGGCAGATCGCCACTTACATGCTGCTCGCGTCGTCGTCGTCGTCGTCGTCGCTCGTCGCGCGCGGGCGCGGCTGTGGTGCGAGAACCACTCGGCGGGGGGGGGGCGTCACGTCATACCCCCCCCCGCCCTCCCCTTCCCCCCCCCATGACGCCCGTCATCGCCGAACGTAAAGAAATGCACTCTAACCGTCCAGGACGAAGAGATGTCCGCCGGATGTGGTCGAGGGGGGAGGCGGAGGAGGAGGAGGAGGAGGAGGAGGAGGAGGAGGAGAAGGAGGAAGAGCAGGACGAGGAGGAGGACGAGGAGGGAGGAGGAGGAGGAAGGAGGAGGAGGAGGAGGAGGAGGAAGAGGAGAAGGAGGAGGACGACGACATTCGTTGGGGCGTCATGCCGGCGCGCTTCTCTGGCTCGCCTGTTCAGCCCCGAGCCGCCCCCGCTGCCGCTGCTGGCCGCGCCGGCGCACCCAGCATGGAATCGTTCCGCGCCTGAGTGCCCTCTGCCTCCTCCCGTCCTTCCCGGCCGCCCTGCCTGTCCAGTTCCCCCCCCTTGCACGCCGGTCCATTCGCGTATATCGGTCGCCCCGAGCGCCGCCCGCCAGAGCAGCACACTTCTGCCTCGCCGCCGAGGTCAGAACTGCTTATAGCCCTGAGCTGCGGCGTGAGGCGCCCGAGCCACAGGCCAGAGCCCGCGGGGAGCATCGTTCCTGAACGTCTTCTGGGGAGAGGTCGGGCTCTCGCCCTCCGGAGGGCCAGCTCCGGCTCCACAGGGGCCCGCAGGACCGCCGACCCCTGCGCGATCCCGCCACTTTTGCAGCGCGTGCGCCCGTGGGAGCTGAGCTGCCGACCGCTGCAGCCGCAGAGGTGTCGAGAAGCGTTTCCGGTCGGCCGCGTCATGCTGAAACCCCAGTGGTCTGAGTCGCGCTGTTCACGCGCTCGAGCGAGGGCCATCGAGGGGACTGCGCCTGGATGTCCGACGGGGCTGCGCTGGACAGGAAGCAGCGCAGAGGAGGAACGAGTGCCAATCACGCACACACGCACACTGCGGAGCGCTAGTACAGCACGCGCATCAAACAAACATCGGCCTGCCAGAAGGTGCCCGCGGAAGTTTCTGATCCCGTGGTCGTCCACACTGGCCCACACAAAGTCTGAGACACCGTATGTCCTTCAAAGGTCGATGAAGAGTGTGCCCCAAATTCTTGATATCGAGATGTGTTATCGAACGTGTCTACTGTAGGGTTCAGAGGTTACGGGATTTCGGGGAGATCGGGCAGTGGCTTGCGAGATTCGAGCGAAGCCTACAACCGTCGACAAATTTGAACCCAAAAGTTGTCTACGCGCCCCTGCAATGTCGCCACTTTCGTCATGGATGTCACCCCCGTCAATATCGAAGCAGCGCGAAACGCGTCTCGGGCTTGTGCGACTCAGAAGTTCCATGATGACAAGCACTGGAGATGGAGCGCCGACGAGTGCTTCGCACGCAATGCCGCCATGCCCAGATCATCAAACCCACGAGCACATGGCGTCGCGCACTCTTGAGGTTCCTTCCGTCGAGCGAGAAACCCATCACCTCCGCGAGGACGACGACAAGCCCTCTGGCGCAGTGGCCGAGATGGTGCAGGCTGGCTGGATCTTCGAGCCGCGAGGCTCGCCGCCCGTGATCATCAAGAAGGCGCAGGCCCTCCTCCTCCTCCTCCTCCTCCTCCTCCTCCTCCTCCTAATCATCATCATTTTCCTCCTCCTCCTCCTCCTCCTCCTCCTCCTGCTCCTGCTCCTCCTCCTCCTCCTCCTAATCATCATCATTTTCCTCCTCCTCCTCCTCCTCCTCCTGCTCCTCCTCCTCCTCCTCTTCCTCCTGCTCCCTCCCTCCCTCCCTACCTCCCCCCCCCCTCCTCTCGATGCCCCTACGCATTCTGTGCCTCGCGTCCCTGGGCGGTCCGGTACCCTCGGGCCCCCTCGCGCCGCGCAGCGGAGACCCACAGGCCGAGGAGCACCCTGCTTGCCTCCAGGGCGTCGTGGAAAGCGCGGCGTGCCCACGCCAGCAGAACGAAGGATTGCAAAAAAACCCTTGAACGAAGGATTGCAAAAAAAAGGATTGCAAAACAACGAAGGATTGCAAAAAAAAGGATTGCAAAAAAAAACCTTGAACGAAGGATTGCAAAAAACCCGAAGGATTGCAAAAAAAAAACCTGGATTGCAATCCTTCGTTCAAGCGGAGACCCATAGGCCGAGAAGCACCCTGCTTGCCTCCAGGGCGTCGTGGAAAGCGTGGCGTGCCCACACCAGCAGTCGGGTGGGCGCCCTCGGGTCTCAGGGTTGGGTTTCTCGTGGTAAAACGACGCGAAGATCGAGACAAAATCGGATCGGGATAACTCGAAATCTCTGAGAATCGGCGGGTTTGGAGGATGTATTGGACGCCGCGGCCGCTCCAGAGCGATTTATCCCGATCCTAGCCCTGTTTTATGTGGAAGGTTTCTTGCGGTCGAGCCCCTACTGTCACAAAAACACATCGTGACGGGAGTTGTCATGTTCGTCGTGGTCGTTGGCCGCCGGGAGCCTTTCTGCTGGGCCTCGGGGTCGTCAACGAAAACTGCTCAGGAGTACGAGCCCGTCCCCAGGGAACGGGTCCTTCCTTAGCAGATCATGGGAGCCTGGCATCCCCTCCGAATGCCATCTGGAGCGCCGATCAGCGCCGATCAGCGTCCGGGCGTCGATGAGACAGCGTCGATTCAGCGCCGATTGGCGCCGACGAGCGTCGAGTCGCGCCGGTTCGCAAGAGCCGGGAGGCTCAGGAGCAACGATAGGGGGGGATAGGCATAGGGGGGATGCATCGATCCCCAATCGCCCATGGATCGCCGATAGGTGCCAGGTAGCCCCAACCTGCCCAGGAAGATGCGGATTCGCTACCGGAGGCCTATCGTCGATCTATCGGCGATGTATCGCCGATTCCAGGTCGATGCATCCCCCCCCCCTATGCCAGTCCCCCCCTTATCGTTGCCCCTCGTACGGGAGGCTCCCACGAGTTGCCACCGAAGGGTCCAGGCTTCCCCTTGGCCCACGCACCGCCTTCGAGGATAGTGCCTGCGTGCGGCCATCTTGCCTCTTGCGGGGGAGGCCCAGGCAAAGAAGCACCCCGCTGGCCTCCAGGGTGCCCCCCAGACGTGATCGCGTCGGAAAAGAATCGGGACGAAGGTTTCTCGCCATTTCCAGCCCCTGGGAGCCCTCGCCGGGCCCCAGGACCGCCAAAAACCGACTCAGGATGACAAACCGGCCTTGGGGAAAGGGTTGGGAATTCCGGGGACGCCGCCCTGACAAAAATCAAGACGTCGCATGCCTGGGCCTGTTTTTTTTCCTGGGTTTTGGTGGCCTCGCCATGGCAAGCGTGGCGCTCGCACGGCCAAAAAGGAAACGATGGACGTCCATGGGGTCTCAGAGGGTTTTCTTTTTTGTGGAAGGTCTCTTTGTGGGCTGGCCTCCACTGGTGCGCCCTGGGGGGAGGGCTTGCCGCGGGCACGGGGGGGGCGGGCCTGCCGTGGGGCTTCTGCCGCGGCGCCCGGCCTCCTGCATGGGGCTCGGGATGCAGGGCCTGCCGTGGGCTTCGCCGGGGTGCGGGCGTCGTCCACGCGGGCGCGTCGAGACAGCGAAGAGAGGCGCGGCGGCGCGTCATGGAAAGCCGCGGTGTCGAGTCGGGCCCGACGGAGGGGCAGGATGGGGACCCCTGATGGTCCGCTACCGAAAATTTCCGGTAGCGCTCCGCAGAGATCGGTCGCTACCGAAATTCCGAAAGGTAGCGCCCAATACCGGTATCAGACCGTTCTGAAATCCGCTATTTCAACGCCCTCAAACGAAGATCCGGTCGCTACCGAAATTCGGGGTGCGTCGAAATCGCTACCGAAAATTTCCGGTACCAGACCATCTGGGACAGGGGGGTCACGAAACCTGCTGCATGCAGCTGGTCTCCGCCCCGGCTCCGGGCCCATGCCTCGATGCATGGTCGCCTGCCTCCCGGCGCCAGGAGTCGCCAGGAAAACCAGTTGCTTGAGCCGATTCTCTACCCTGCCCTTTGATACCTCACCCTTTCGTCCCCCCCCGAAGCAGGCCCCATGGGCGCGCCCGAGAGAATTGCAGCCGTGGGTAGGAACAGTCTCGACTCTGCGTTCCCTCTGGGCGGGAATTCTCCGAGTCCTGGCTAGCATTGGACGGGGCTCGTTCCAGAGCGCTCCGGAACGCTCTCAGAGCTTTCTGGGACGCTTTGAGAAGGCCGCGGCGCCCGAAACATCTTCCAGAGCCGCCGGATTGCACACATTCCCAATGTATCCCCCCCCTAGTTGCCCTGATGCGCCCGTCTTGAAGCGCAACACGCACAGTGTTCAAACCGTCCGTGTCAGTACGTTGCGTGTTGTCTCAGCGTAGTGGCCCACGCTTTGGCGAACGTATCGCGCAGGACCTGCGTGTTCAGTCTACGTCTTGAGCTCCGTTTCACTACGCTACAGTGGGGGCGCGCATCAAGAAACCGTGTGCTTGTCGACAGGGTATCCTGGGTTTCTTCGCTCCGCCCGCTGCGCGGTGACTTCCCGCAGCCGTTGAAGACGCTGCTGCGTCCAGGGCGCTCCCGGATTCCCCTCGGGCGCACCTCGCGCGCGGGCTTCCAGGGTTGGGGTTCTTGCGAGGGGTTCTTGCGGCCGCGCCCTCACTGTACGTGCCGCGTGTTGCGTACCAGGGCAGCTGAGATCCCCCCCGTGTCGAGGGCGTGGGGCCACCGGCCCGACGGCGTGTCTGCTCGCGGGCGGGCCGCGGCGCCCGACGCGCCCGCGCGGTCGACGGGCAGGGCCGCCGTGCCCTGGGGCGGGTCGACGAGCAGCCGAGCGGGATCCAGGTTCAGCCATGCACGGGCACCCAGCGAGCGAGCATCTTCTGACTCATTGTGTTGCCGATCAGCGTGGGCCCCCGCACCCCCCCCCCCCTCTCCCCCGCCGAGCGGAGCAGATCTCGGCAGTTTTGGGGGCGCCTGTTTCGAGCAGGTGGAGTCTCTCCCCCGGAGGACGCACTGTTGCAAAGAGTCGCATCGAGCAGATGTCCGGAGCCAGACCCTCCCCCTTCCCCCCCTTCCGCCCAATGTCGAAACGCCGAATAAGAGAACGCTCACATACAGAGGAGGCGGAGGAGGAGGAGGAGGAGGCGGAGGAGGAGGAAGTGGAGGTGGCGACCGCACTTCTTCGCCTCAGCGTCTGGGGTGGAGGTGTCTCCATGCCATGGGCGGGCGGCCTCGTCGTCGGCGCCGTCCAGTCCTGTGGGCCTCGGCAGGTTGGGAGGATGGGACTGGAAGAAATGAGGATATCATTACCCGTAGGCGGTCGAAGGTATCGCGCTCTACATCCGAATGCTCTTGCTCCTGCCCTTTATTCTCCCAATCCCTTCCTCCCAACACGATAGTTGTTCCCCTCACCCTTGCAGCCGACGGAGTGCTGGTGTGCACCGTGCCGCGTTGGTGTCTCTCGACGTGTCGTCGATCTTCGACCCTGGAATGGCACGGTGCCTAGTTTATCGGCCCTCCGGAGCGAAAGAATTGTGCGCCGTACCGAGCCGGAGCGGGGCCTGAAGGCAATCCAGACATGGTGGGGTGCATATAGCGCCGTCCTCGGGCTTGCAGCCGACGGATCCATACACGTATGCAAAATTCGTTGGACGTGGTCTTCACTTCACCTATGTGGGCAGGTGCTCGTTCATCACCACGGCAGCAGTGTAGGGAGCGTGCGCAGGCCCATCGCATGAGAGATGTACGTCTGGCGATGCTACCGCCTTGGATCTCTTCTTCGCATTCAGCAGCTCGTTCACTAGTTACTGGTTGGATTCCCGTGCTCGTTGCTGTGCCTCGCATGTCTTATCGACGGCGCCTGCCAGTTGGGGTTGGAACATGTCTTGTGCGCGTTCTCGGCGCACGTCGGTGTGGGGGTCGCGTGGTGTTGTTTTGTGTTGCGCGGCGAGGTGAAGCCAGAGAAGTCCGAGACGCCTCCCGCACCCTCGGCGTGAGAGTTCAGGGAGCGGCGCGGCTCTGCAGCGGCGTGTAGCGTGTAGGTGGTCGTTTTGCTTATTCGTTGTTTTGCCGATCGGCGCGGGCCCTCGCACCCCCCCCTTATGGAGCAGGTCTTGGCTGTTTTTGGCGCCCGTTTCGAGCAGGTGGAGCCCTCCCCCATAATGGACGTATTGCTGCAGAAAGTCGCACTAGGTAGAGGTCTGGAGCCAGTCCCCCTCCTCCCCCCCCCTTCCACCCAATGTCGAAACGCCGAATAAGCAAACGCTCATTAGTGTGTCTCACTTGCCCTGTCCGCTGCAGGTTTTCTCCGCCAGTCGTTGTGCGGCTATTCTGGCTCTCTGTTGTGTCGGTCTGCTCTATTTCTGTGCGTTCATCTCCTTCGCGGCAGCAGTCATCCTGATGATCCTCCTCATTCTCATCATCGTTGCTATCCATGCTCCATCGTTGTTATGTCTCCCATGTTGCAGGAGTTCGACCTCTGGCGAGATGTATTTGCATATCGCGTATACACGTGGACTTTTTCGTGATTTGAAGGAGTTCCAGAGTACATGTTCTGGCGCACGCCGATGCGATTTGATATTCAGCGTGCACTGTTCGAGGATGCGCGGCTTGCAGTAAGGATCTTGTTTGGAGAGAAGGTTATGTGATCATAGTGATGGGGGTCGGAACAATCTGATTATACCTTTGCGCGCGCCTGGCTGCAACGGAATCTCGACATGGAGGCGGGTGCGCTAGTCGGGCACGTAACCGGGCACGCTCATCGGGGACGCTAATATGGCGCGAACGGATGCGGAGCACATTTCACTCGTTCCCGCAATCCCCAGGATATACACAAGTATGCATATGTACACAAACGCATTTCCCAACCATTCAGCAACGTGTGCACTTAAGGTATCTCACTTCTGTTCTAGGGAACTGGGCCTGAATGTCGGTCTGGCGGCCATGTGGCCAGCGTCGCCGCCTCATCACCGCCCGTCGTTAGGCCGTCGTCTGGCCCTGAATATCGGTCTGGCGGCTACGTGGCAGCCGTCGCCGCCCGGTCGCCGCCTCGTCGCCGCCCATCCCGTCGCCGTTCAGATTGCACAGTATAGATTCTCCTAAGAGGAAATTAAGATCGACCCCCCCCCCCGGATTATCGGTTCACCTTGGACATGTGCGATTTATATATGATTTTGCCCGTCCGTTCATCCTAAATCTGATGTCATACCATCCCAGCCGAGCTGGTATCGAAGCCCCCCTCATCCCTGGAAAAAAAAGCTTTCGCGCACATTTCTTCATCTTCAAAGGCCTTGGTTCAAGAGTACCTTGCACCACATGGGACGAAGTGCACACGCGCGCGTCGTCGCGCGCGCATCCCGAAATCTTGCAAAAGCCCTTGGTGCCGTAAGGATTTCGACGTCGAGGGTTCCGAATCTATACGTATAGATATGCACAGATAAAACACAAACGGTGGTTTCGCGACAGGAATTTCCAAAATCATAAAACTTCGCTCGCGTTCTTGAGCATTCTTGGGTAATCCGTATGTGATCAATATTTTCTTCATGCGACCAAACGTGCCCATTGCACGCGCATGCCGTTCTCATTCGAACGCCCTCACGCGCGTGCTATCGCAACAATCTCTTGCGAAGCATGGGACGAAGCGCGCACGAGCGTGTCGTCGCGCGCGCATCCCGAAATCTCCCAGCAACTTAAAGTTTCGTAAGGAATTCGAAATCGATTGTCCCGATTACAAAATCACCAAATGGTTTCGCAACAAGAACTTTCAAAACACAAAGCTGCGATCGCGCATTTGCCAGTTCTTAAGACAACAACGGGTATTCAACAGTTTCGCGAAATGCTACCAACCGTGCCTCTTCGCGCGCGCGTGGCGACATCATTCGAACGCCCTTGCGCGCGTGCTGGGGGGGCACAGTCCCTGCCACATAAGACCATGCAGGCCACTTGCGCGCGCCGACCGCGAGCGCACGTCGAAATCCTTCAAAAACTCCATCACCGACGCGAGAACACTATTATTGTCATCGGCGTTATCAGCATCGGCGCTGTCATTGCCCTTGCCGTCGTCATTGTCACCATCGCCACCAGCATCGCTACTATCAGCATCGTGCCTGCAGTTGTCGACTTCGCCATGGTACGGCGCCCGCCCGAGCCACCGACTCGCACTGATGTGCCCGGTTGTCAGCGCGGCCTGCGAGACGCGTTGAGGAAGTTTCTTGCGGTCAGCGCCACCGCGGCCGCGTTGGTCGCGCCAGGCTAGTTGGCCGCTCTGTGCGCGAGCCTGCGCGCGCTAACGCGGCCACAGCGATGCAACAGCCAGCACGAAGCAGCCTTCGCAATCGCAATCGCATGGGTTTTGCAAACAAAATTGCGGGTGGGTGTGTGGGTGGGACGATTGCGCGAGCATGGGAGGTGGTCATGTGCGAGGAAGTCAAAGTACATTGCGCCACGTAGATTGCGCCACATATTTTGCACAACCTGTACTCTCCCTATTTAAAGAAAGTCTTGACGTGTTCGTTTCAATATATGTTCTCTCTGCCAGTTATTCGGTTGGCTGGCTGACTGGTTGGCCAGTTTGCTGGCTGGTTAAGCTGAATGGCTGGTCGGTTCGTTGGCTGGCTTGCTGGTTGGTTGAGCGGTTCGTGTACACACCGTCGTCTGTTCACGGCGGCGGTTGTCCACACACACACACACGTCCATGCCGCAGCGGAGGAGGGGACGGAAGCAGTTGTGGAAAAGGTCTGGTCGATTTGCATTCAGAAGTGATCCCAGGTTTCTTGTTGAGTCCATCTTGAATTTGTTTTCCCGATATGCGTCCAGCTGTGGCGACGAGGGGCTTTCAAGGAGGCCACGAAGGAGGATGAGAAGGAAGAGGCGGGAGGGAGGGAGGGAGGGAAGGGAATGAGGAAGAGAAGGAGGGGGGGAAGGAGGAGGAGGAGGAGGAGGAGAAGGACAGGAGAAGGACAGGAGGAAGGAGGGAGAGGGAGAGGCAGAGAAAGCGTTGGGGAAGGAGGACCGACGCGGATGAGGCGGGATGGGGAGCGCCCAGCCAACAGTCGCGAGTGCTCGGTTGCGCGTGTCGCTCCGCCGGTTCTGACCCACCACGCTTCGGCGAGACACGCTGTCCACGTCCCCCTCCCGAGCGTCAACGCCCCGAGCTGTTCCTCGGTCTCCCGCCCCGCGGAGCGGAGCGACACGCTATCCGCTTGCAAGGCCTAGCGTGTCGCCGGGGCCGCCGCCGCGACACGCTGTGCAGAGAATCCTAGACCCTGTCTCGGTCCGAGCTGTTCCGTTCCGTAGTCGATCGGGGGTCGATTGAGGAGACGCATCAAGAAAGACGGCCCTGGGGGAAAGGGGTGGGGCCATGGGTTTGCCGATCTTTGTCCTCTCGGGCCCCCCACCCCTGGCCCCTGGGGACCCTTCAGCATTTGCCCAGGGAGAAGAATATGGTTCGGAGAAGACTTGGGGTCCAGGACCCATGCAATTCAGGACCCCTCCCATAATGCCCAAAAAGAAGGCGGGAGGAAAAGGGTAGAGTTGGGTGAAGCTCCAGGGGGAGGAAAGTTGGGTGAGGCTGTACGGGCTACAACTACAAACTCAAGCACGAGTCTTGTCGATGCATAAGATGACGGGAGTGAGGAGCTCATTGTCTTCCATGTTAGCTGTTCGCTCCCAGCCTCTCACCTGCCGCGCAGTAGGCAGCTTGACCTCGTTTTGGCGTGTCCGGATGCAGCGTCCATCGTCGGACCGCCATCGTGGGCCTCGGAGAGGTAGGTTTGCAAGATGTAGGCCGACACTCCAAGCGAAGCGCGGATCTTGAAAACAAGCTTGTGTTGATGACTTGGCATACGTTGTCGTAGCAGGCGCGCTGTACAATACTTCCAGCAGGGAGGTCTGCACGCACCACGTGATATCCATTTGCGTCCACCGCTTCTGGGTTGAAGCGGGGTCAAGTCAGTGCCGGTTGCTTCATCTTGTTGTGTTACATTGCCCAGCCTTCATCGCGTTGATCAGGAGCCGAAAAGTGTCGTGTACCGTATGGTTGTCCACGAAGAAGTGGACTGGTCTTTCAGTGGCAGACAACGTGAGGAGGGCCAGGGTCTCAGCGCGCTGAGTGCCCTTCCAGGGTCCATCGACCCGGTCGGTTCGATCCGACATCGATTTCGGCCGGCCCGATCTTGCCGATTCCGACGATCCGATGCGTCCTCATGTCTGCATGGCATTGTTGTGCAGCTTGGTGCTGCCACCGATCCGGCTCCGGCTCCGTGCCGCTGCAGCCCGATCCGACGCGCGCGTTCCGACGCGGTCCGAGTTCCAGACTCGCTGCTGCTTGCCCTTGCCTTCGTGCGGTGGCGCAGATGTCGCGCGCGATGATCCCGTGATTTGAAAGAGCGTGTTCTACCGCTGCTGGCGGAAAACCGGGGGGGGGTCACTACCGGTTCGAACCCCTCCCCCCCCCCTCCGGAAAACCGGGGGGGGTCACTACCGGTTCGAACCTCTCCCCCCCCCCAGCTCATCATGAAAAGGGGGGGGTCACTACCGGTTCGAACCCCTCCCCCCCCCCCCTCGAAAACCGGGGGGGGTCACTACCGGTTCGAACCCCCCCCCCCCTTCGAAAACCGAGTGGGGGTGCGGACAGTGGTGGGGACGGTGTTGGTGGGGACAGTGGTGAGGGGATAGCGGGACAGTGGTGCAGACAGTGGGACAGTGGTGGGGACGGTAGTGGTGGGGACAGTGTGGGGACAATGGTGGGAACAGGGGGGGACAGTGGACAGTGGTGGTGACGGTGGTGGTGGGGACAGTGGTGTGGGGACAATGGGAATGAGGTGGAAACAGTGGGACAGTGGAGGGTACAATGGTGGTGGGGACAGTGGTGAAGGCGGTGGCGAGGACGGCGGTGGGACAATGGGACAGAGGTACAGTGGGGACAGTGGTGGGGACAGTGGGGACAGTGGTGGGAACAGTGGGACAGCTCAGTGGGACAGCGGAGGAGTCAGTGGGACAGTGGGGACAGTGGGGATAGTCGGGCAGTGGTTGGGGCCGTGGAGACAGTGGGGAGAGTGGAACCGTGGTGGGAACAGTTCTGGGGACAGCGGGGACAGTGCGACAGTGGTGGGGGCACTGGTGGGGACAGTAGGGGCGGTGGTGGAACCAGTGGGGACAGTGGTGGTGAGGACAGTGGTGCTGGGAACACCAGTGGGGGATGTGATGCGGACGGTGGTGGGGACCGGGAGTCGTTTGCTGGCGGTGAGTGGGGGGGGGGGGGCATCGAACCGGTAGTGACCCCCATCCGTTTTTCCCGCCCTGATCCGAGGGTAGGGGGGGGAGGGTTCGAACCGTAGGTGGGTTCGAACCGTAGTGACCCCCACCCCTCCCCCCCGGTTTCCGACCGAGGGGTGGGGGTTCAACCGTAAGAAC